GAGAAGGCAACCGTTGTGAGGAAGCCCCGTGGTGGGACTGACCAGCCGCTCAGAAAGCAGCCCCGTCTCGCACGCGCGCTGGGCGGGAAGGGACCGGAGAGGAGGTTTCAAAGGCGGCAGCAGGTGCTGGCGAGTTGGGAATGTTAGTCTCGGGGCGCCAGGTAATTAAGTGCCTCTGCAGGAAAAGGAGGAAAGCTGGAAAGAAAGCAAGCAGGTGGCCACTACGGCAGTTCAGGGGCTAAAACAGACGTGCCTACTTTTTCCAACTTATCTGTTTTTAAATTTTTTCTGTTTTTACCAATTCTAGTTTAAAAAGGAAAGAGAGGATAACAGATGAAAAGGTTAAGAGGGAGCCAGTGAGGGGAGAAGTTACAAAGGCTGAAAGGAAGGAGTGATAACTAAGGTGACAGAGCATAGCTCTAAGAAAAAGTAAAAAAGGACTGCTCAGATCATCCTTAAAACAGCTGCTATCTATGAAGAGCCAATTACGAGTCAAGCACTTGGCAAGGTGCTTTGCACACATTGGCTATTTTAATCCCCACAATATCCCTAAAAGGCAGATATGTTAACTTCAGTCTCCAGATCAGGAAACTGAGGAACAGAGAATCACCTAACTAATAACCAAGGCGGGCAGGACAGTCTGGCTCCAAAGCCGTCCTCCTACTCCCCTCCCCAGGCTGCGCACACAAGTCCCGAGAGAGATGCGGGCGAGCGGGCCAGGAGCCCGCAGAGCAGCCCGCTGGGCCGGGGCCCCGGTGAAGGTCCCCCAGCTCAGACCCCACTTCCCGCCGCCTACGTCAACTAAAAATAAAGGCAAAACTCCATGAAAACCTGAGTCCTTCCAGCGAACTCAGAAACTTAGGGAAATTTAATCTGAGTGAAAAAAAGAAAGAAAAGAAAAAATGTGAGTCTTATTAGGTCGTTAAGGCCTGGTTTGAGGTGACGTCTTCAGATTATCTTCTCTGCCATGACTAACCGTGGCTTTACGCCCTGGAGGAGACTGAACGTGGGCTGAGTGCCACGGTGGGCTGGAGATGTTGCCTGGAATTGTCTGGGTGGGACAAGGACAGTGGCCCTAACAGTATTAAGGCCAAGCAAGTAAACACTGATTAGTAAAAATACCTTCAGATATACAAATAAATTATGGTATGTATTTGGGTGTGTATTTAACCAACTCGGAACATGGTAAAACTCCTTTTGTATGAACTACAAGTGGCCAGAAAGGAAGCTGGGGGCAAAGTTAGCCATATGCTCTCTTTTCTACTAACCCCCCTAAAGCTCAGACATCGCCATGACTTAACAGAATCAGGCTGGTTCTCTTCTAAACAGATTCTGAAATGGCATGTTCAGCTGAAATCAGAGCCAGTCATCTCTGGATCGATGTGACATACAATGGGAACATTAACTATAATTGTTAGTCTTTTAAAGCAGCAAAAACTGAATGACAGGCTGAATATTTCCTGGAAGTACAATGGTGGGAAGGATTAATCTGGGGAGTTTTGTTTGATGATGTAGGCCACGTATCTTCAGACGTTTCACAGAATGCACCCTAATTAAAGAGGAAAAGTCTTGGAAACCTGGATTCTTTAAAAAAAAAAAAAAGGAAAAAAAAAAAACTGTTTCCAAACTACCCGAAGTTCCAAAAGCATTGTGTAGAAAATTCTTCTTGCAGACGGAAGGACATAGCGAGGGGCTTAATTTACATACAATTTCACTGTTTAAAAGGAACTAGTTCTTTTTTTTGGAACTTTCAGTAACCAATTCAAGAGTATTCAGTTATGGATGAAGGAGGAAAAGAACCACAAAGACTCCGCACGTGGAACGTTAACAGTCACACCTTGATATGTTGCTTGAAAGTCAGCAACAAAGGCGGCTCCTTGGTTCAGCCCCTTTCCAGCTGAGACTACATTTCAAGTCGTGTGGTCAACTGACTTCCAGCAGACCCGATCCTGTGGCACCAAGATGTCACAACAGCGCCTGAAGCTGGGAGTCAGGGAGGCTCCAGTGCCGACGGGCCCAGTGAACAAAACAAGGTATGGTCTAGATCAGATCCTGCCTCAGCCAACGCCCAGGAGATGACCACACGTGAGTGAGTGAGTGTGTGTGTTGTGTGCACGCACATGTTGGAATTTCATTAGATCCAATACTACTTGAAATTACTGGCATGTGGGCTGAGGCTTAGAAATCTTGTGACATAAAGACTTTAAATGTCATGGGATTTGTTTTCACAGGATTTGACTTTTCTTCCGGGGAAAACATCATAGCAAGGCAAAAACAGTTTAAGGAATGCCACCAGAGTTCCCAAAAGTCTTCTATAGGGTTTGAAAAAGTGGGTAAAAAGTTTAACACCCAAAGTTTAACTGATTTTCAAACACTTGCAAATACATACTCACAAACCCCTTCAGGCTTAGCCTTGGCAGTGTTCCAGTTAGCTGGAATGTCACAAGGCCAGTCCCATAGAGACAGCAGACACACACACACACGTCACCTGGGCCACTGAGTAAGATATGCAGCATCACGTGTTGTCTTCAGACCTGTGAGCTCAGTGAAACAGGTTCCTTTTCTCTAATGAATAAAGGGGGGAGGGAAGGGGGAGGGGTGCACGTATGCACGGAACTATAACCACAGGACCTGCAATGTCACTCGAGCTACTTACCAATGAAATCTACTGATTTGTCCAACCACGGCAAAATTTTCTCACAAAAGCTGTCATTCACAGGCACTCGCAGGAAATGAGACTCGGGGATAAAGTCAGGCTTGGGACAGGTGTTGCTGGCATTTAACACATAACCAATCCCATTCTGCTGCATCAGCTCCTAGGGAGGGAAAGCGTAATTAAAGTGACAAACAACATACCGGCAGGGTCATTCTAAAAGAGGAAAGCTTAAAGTAATGACATAAGTGACTAGTTTCCTTGAAATAATCAGAGTTTATTCAATTCGAGAAATCCAAACTCCGACCACAATGACGGTAAAGCCTTAAGTTTAAAGCAGAATTTTTTAAGGGCAAAAAAGGCTGTTTAAAGGATCAAACGTCATTAATATGGTCAAGTCTCTCTTACCTTCATTACTTGAAGAAGGGGAGCAAAGAATACAAAATAAAACCATGACAGTTTACTGTGACTCCCCCCCCCCCCGTGGCAACTATGTAAAATTACTGCGACAGTGGCAGGTGTATTCCCCAAAATGCATGAGTCAGTGCACTGATTCACAAGGTTTGGGAGGATGCTAGAAAACTTTTGTTTGTTTTATGCTCTGACTTTAGAATGTATGCACACACATGAGGACATTTCCTTCCCAAACTGAACATGCTGGCTGTTCCCTTACGTTCAGTGCTAGGCCATCTTTCACTCTAAGTACTCTCTCTGGGGTATTCTTGTTTGTTTTTCTACCTTCGGCACCAGGTACACAGCTGCACTCGGGACATGTCTGTTCAACTAACACTCCGTCTTCCAGGCAAGCTTATCCAACCCGCTTCCCTGGGTCACCCACCGCCGTCCCTCAGGAAATGGTCTACGCCTGAATTCATTCTCTTCTAAGCAACTCTGGGCACGTCTTCCTTTTCTTGGATTCCTACCTCCTCTATGAATCTTTTCCAACTCCAACTACTGGAAAATCAGTTGGTCATTTTCATCCTGTTTTAGCCTCCTGCCAACTCCCTAACCCCTGCAGTTACCACACGGGCACAATACATATATTCTGTTTTCCGTAAAAGGTAGATTTCGTAAATCTGGATCATGGAGGCAAGCCTCTTAGCTGTCAGATGACAGTGTCAGGAAACAGCTTCTGGACCTAGACGAGCCTCTCAGAGGACTGCCCCTCGTCCTCCAGCGGCCTCAGAGGCTCCTGTTAGGTTAATCGTCAGGCTGTGAAGATCTCGGTGGTGTCTGCTACAACCACTTTTAAATGTCTGCAGATGAGCAGAGGTCACATCTGTTTTCTAGGCTGAGATTAGTGACCACCCCACCGGTCAGTGGTCCCGACAGCACCTCCCTGAGCCCAGGGACGGCGGCGCTCCGTCCCTCGCAAACGGCCGAGCTTGTGATTCTAAGCTTGCAATGCCGCCAAGCGCCCCCGCCCGCCGCCCCACCCCCGTCACCCCTCTCCCGCGTGAGGTCGCGAGTCGCCCCCGCCGACCCTCCCTGCTCTCTCGTCCCCCTGTAAGATGCGGAAAGTGCTGGGCAGGGCCGCCGGCCTCGGGAGGGCGCTGTGCTCTGTGACGGCGGTGGGCTGAGGTGCATCTTCCAACTGTTGTCCAGCTCTCACTGCCTTCCTTTGTCGCTGGTCCCCCCACCTGCCCGCACCCCCAGCCCGTGGTTAGGTAGCAAGCCAGCCCCACCCTTCCAAAAGGAGAAGGCGCCAGAGGGTGGGGGGTGGACAGGAAGTGAAATAAACACTATCTGGAAAAAAAAAAAAAACAAAAACCGGTGTCTCCCATGCGAGGACAGCAGTGTCACTGGAGTTAGGTCTTGCAGGCTTTTCTCACCAATGCCCTTTAAGGAAAGGACACTTTTTATATTTCCTTTTCGTTCCCATCAACAGTACTACAAAAGTTTATTAAATTAAAAGCAATTTAACAATAAAGACACAGACGCTTCTGAGAAGAGAGGCTGACACTAACAGTGTTCCCTACTCTACACAATCAAAAGACAACAGGCAATTCTAAGGACAACACATGTCACAAGTCAGCAGTGAGAGTCAAATGTGACTTCCCCCCACGAAGCCTAGAACAATGTGCCCGCTGACAAGTAGCCTAACAGTCTACGTTTTGGAGAAATGACCACTTAACCTAAATTCAATTTCAAAAAAAAGTTTGCTGGGCACCTTTGCCATAGGTTTATTCACAATATACTATCATGGTACTCGGTGCACATTAATAAAAACAACATGCACTGAATGCCTACTACGTACCAGGTACTGCGCTAAGAAGCATTTAAACAGACGGTCTCAAGCCTCACAACCACACTCTGACGTGGGGACTATTATCATCTTCACTTTACAGATGAGGAAACTGAGGCTTCGAGCGTTTACATAATGTTTTCAAAGTTGCACAGCTAGAAGTGGTCCAGTGTCAAAATTCACATCCAAGTCGATTCAGCTCCAGAATCTGCCCTCTTAACTGCCCTGCTCCACTGAAGTTCTTTTTAAAGCAAATTAGAATAAAGCAACTAGTCTACATACAGACTTAAAAAAAAAATGAAATGAAGTAATAGAGTATCATGTTTTAATTTCAGCCCTTTTTATCCTTTTTAACTGTAACACATCAGGAAGTGCAGGAGCACCGCTCCGGGCACGGGCTTCTCTGGGGAGGCTCTCGGACAACTCAGGAACCGGGCGGCTACTGGACGAGGCTAATCCGGGGTTCTTTTTGCCCTCTTTTCCCCCCTGTTGTCGCCTCGGCGGCAACCATCACAGTGTGGTCCTCCTGCCGTGTTCGCACGGGCTTCTGCTACCACAGGCCGAGGACCGGCTGCCCGCATGCACGGACCCCGGCCTCACGCCGGCTGCGGCTCGGCCCCCAACAGCCACCGCCGGACGG